GGAAAGAAGGAGAATTTACATCAGGGAAAGTCAAACTGGGTTTTCTGATACAATGAGATGAAACAGGGCTGCATACCTTGCTTTTTTAGCTTCCTCCAGCAGCATTTCTGCTCTGGCAATGTCTCCAGCACTCTGCTGCAGAATGACCTCGACATCAGAAAGGCTTTCTACACGCTCACGGATATCTTCTGTCAGGGCTTGCAGCTGCTGGGGAGTGCTTGGCATCTCCATGTTCAGCACTTCATTAGCCACTGCCTCGATGCTATCCAGGTCAGCACTGTCTTCTAGCAGATGAACACAAATGGCAAAGATGTGAGTAAAAGCTTCCCTCTGTCAAGTCTTAGTGTTCAAATTATTGTCCAGCTGTTTCCTTAAGAAGGGCAATCATGGCAAAACTTCTTCCCCCAGAATTATGGAAAAATCAGGGTGTTAAAACTGCTTCCTTAGGGTGAAAATTCCCTCCTAGGAGAGGCCAGGCAGGTGTGTAGGCCCTGCTGGCATAGCTTTCCTGGAAGCTATTTGAGATCTTGGTGATTAGCTGCACCACACTGAGGTGGGGGAGACTTGAGCCCACAGGAAACAAAGCCAACAGCTGCACGTAAAAGTATGTGTGGTAACAGGAGACTCAGCCCTGTGCAAACAGGGAAGGAGTAGGTTTGCCATGCTGCTGCTTGCTAGCAAACAAGGCTCTCATTTAACATTTCCCTGCTTTCTTAGAGAGATAAACTCACTATTTCTGACTCTCTTCACCTTTAATACTACTTGGTCTTTCTAGCCAGAGCTTACGAACATACTTGGCAAACCATAGCAGTACAACAGTCCCAGCTGAAACACACACAAGAACATGTCACAGTTTGCTCTCACTTTCCTATTGTCTTGGCTTTGTCATTTCCAGACTTCAGGCTGGCTCAAAGTGTGTGTGGGGAACAACAACACACAACTATTGCATTAACCCTTGGAGGATGATACAGATCTAAAGAGAGTTTTCACCAACCCAGAATGAAAGCACAATTTAAAAGGAAGGTCTTTACGCATTAGGAAGTCTCTAATCTGTTTAATAAGATTTCTCAGATCTTCGTTGCTTCTGTCCACTTGTTCTTTCGTAGCATTGGTTTTGAGCAAAACTGCTTGTGCATTTTGTTTGGCCTCATCCGCTCTCTGTTTCGCCTCGGAAACCTGAAGAGAGGAAAATGGAAGGTTTGACTGCACATTTCCTTATGCTTGTTTTAAAACAATTCCATTGGAGTCAGAGGTAACAGCAATGAGGAATGCTCCTGCTCATAAAACTCACAGAACACACTTAAAAGCTGGCCCAGATCCACACCACCAATGCTAGTTTAAACAACTCAGGCTGATGTTTAGAGTTCTCCATGAAGCTTCACTCCAGCAAGCTCCCTCTCTGAGGATTTTTACAAGCACACGATGAAGTTACGCAACGCAAAAGAAGAATTCTGAAGGAACCCAGCACATAGTTTGTCAATGAGCATCTAAACTTGTGTGACAACCGAAAGATTTCTCTTTTCCTTTTTTTAAAAAAAAAAAAATCTAACAATCGATTTGGCACGTTACCATTCTGGAGAGTTGCTCGACTTCTGCTAAGGCGCTGAGGATGTCTCTGTCAAAATCCATAGTTCTCTGCCAGGCACTGTGAGCCACAGTGACCAGTCCCTCGCAGCCGGGGCCGCCGCACTTCTGCTTCCCATCCTCCCTGCAGCTCAACCCGCCGCACTCCGACTCGGCACAGGAGGCTCCCGGGGCAGTGCCACACGTCTGCACACACACATCACACAGGGCAAGCAATCACAGCCTGATTTCCATTGCTGAGCTCCATTTTTGCAAGAAGTAAACCCATTTCCATCAGCAACATTACACTGAGAATCATCCACTACTTGGTGAATTGCTTGGCAGGGAAATAACACAGGGATTTTTTATTTTTTTTTTTTTAGCCAGAGGGAAAATGAGCAAATTCCCCATTCTTGTGAGGTTCTTTTTTTGCTTTTCATGCCTCCACCCCCACTTTTGCCAAATGATAGTCACTAACTGTGGTGCTCTGCAGCCAAAAATCCTCCCTAGGGGCCGTGCCAAGTTAGATGCAGCTGTGTCCTGTGAAGTGTAAATGAGTCAGTCCCTCTTACCTGCTTGGCATGCAACCCAGCAGTAGCTAGAAAGCAGATTTTTTTTTTTGCGTGTCTGTGTGTGTGTCTCATGATTACACCTCCAAGCAACTCGGTGTTTACTGTCTTGATAAACATCTAGCCAAAAATCCTCCCTAGGGGCCGTGCCAAGTTAGATGCAGCTGTGTCCTGTGAAGTGTAAATGAGTCAGTCCCTCTTACCTGCTTGGCATGCAACCCAGCAGTAGCTAGAAAGCAGATTTTTTTTTTTGCGTGTCTGTGTGTGTGTCTCATGATTACACCTCCAAGCAACTCGGTGTTTACTGTCTTGATAAACATCTAACCAGGATTTTCAGGCCTCGTCAGGCAGG